TGTCGCTGTAAACATCCCTCTTTCAGTTTCACCTTCAAATGAAGTGGTTTAGATAAACAAGCTAAAATACTGTTCATGTTTCTTGCCTCGTAAGACTTCATCATAGTGATGTCTCCAATCCCTGCAATTGTTTAGTGAGTATTAAATTGCCCTAACTGAGAGAAACAATGACCAAAACTATAATCATAAGTTATAATTTTACTCAATATAGTATAGTAGTCACTGACTCCACTACCTTTCCCAATCCTTTGGTTGTGACTTTCTCTCTGGCTTCACTGACCTTGATATGTTTCATCACTGAAATAGAAAACTCCTCCAATGCATGCCTCCTGTTGAGCAGTCACAGTTCAGTAATAAATGATCACTCAAGGTCACAAAGAGCGCTGTGTTTGAAAGGTGTTAGGATAACATACATCAGCGCCTCAGTGTGTGTCAGTTTGATGGATAGAGATACAAAGTTCTCTCGCATGTTGAGTCATAATGCACCAACTTGAACATTGGCCAAGACCCACCTACAGTCCTGCACATGTTCTAGCTAAAACTCACACTCCTGTTGAACTTTAAGCTGAAACACAGATCTGAGTTAGAAATAAGTAAGGCAGTGCTCTACTGTAATGATCAGAGTATCATGTCTCAGGTTTATTACCACGCTTGGCTTTAGTTTTTTTTTTTTTTTAACTGTTCCCTTTAAAAACTAGTAGTGTTGAGGTTGCACATGTATCTCCAGTGTGATAAAGCTGTGGACTTTGATAGCACATAACGGCTAGGACTGCAGAATAATAGGTTGGTCGTAAAAATGTTTTTTTTTAAAAAAGTATTCTAGGTGAAAGCCTTTTGAAAAAACATGTAGATCATCACATAACACTAAACTCCTAAACAAAAACAAGCAAACGATCTCACAACTCAGATCATCAGTGTTACTTAGTCAGGGGTCGTCTAAGGAATGATAAAAAAGGCTCCCTTAATGAATAAAGATTGGTAACCACTGACAGAGGCAGAGGTTTATTGCAGACTACAGAGGCTGCAAAGTAAAATTCTCCTGCACACTCCACAGTTATTACTGATATCAGAGAAATGAGAAATGCTAAAATCCTGTGATCTACATTGATTGTCTGTAACACAGTATCAGTGGTGGACCATGGCCTGTTTTTTTAAAATAGAAAAAGCCCAATGTTGGTGCAGTATATCGTCCCAATCTTGGCAGGCTGTACTGTCAGTGCAGATCTGGGAAAACCGGTCTGACCGGAGCACCGGCAAGCTTTACACCTCTCACTCCTGGCCTCCGCCTCCATCTGGTTCTATTATTTCTCTCCTCCCTCCCCTGTGCCTCCCTTTGAATTAAACACCAGCCATGCAGCAGCGCGGACGGCTGCAGATTGCCCCGGAGTCTGCCCTCTGCATGCTCGTGAGGCATGTATGAAGTTCTTTTTGTTTGTGTGTGTGCGCACATGTTACAGGCCAAGTATTTGACCCCAGCCGATGCTCACATACACAGAGTTGACCATATGTTGAGAGGTGATTAACTTCTTTCCAAATCTGCTGATATACTTTAAGTTGCAGAAAGCTGGCGACAGAGCCAAGGAGGGTTAACCTTTGCATTAAGGGTCAAATGAAGAAGTCACCCAGCCGTAAACCTTGGAGGGGAAAACAGTAGAGTAGATGTTGGAGAGATTATGAAAGAAACATCAGTAGGCCAAATTAAAAGTCTCCATCTAATTGTTTAGTTTTGTTTCTGTCTACCTTTACAGTAAAGTATTAAAAGAAGAATTTTGCAGTAAATGTCTGCTCCTGTCAGCAGCAGGTTGTCCTTGAGCAAGGCATTTGACCTCTGATTACTCAGCAGCCAAAGGTAGAAGCCTGTGGTTCTATTGAGCAGGTGTGAATGTGTGGAACTGGATGAATTCGGTCTGGTGCGTTGCGGCAAAGGCATTCATGCCCTGTGAATTTACCTTTGTTCAAATAAAGGTAAAAAATAAGCATCTCCACACGCTGGGAGCTCAGTGCTGAGTGCTGATAGATGGAAGGATTGTCCTCATTAAGGAGACGTGTTTTCACTTTATGCATAAAAAACAGCTGAAGGATCAAATCTATTTTTGAACATCAAAGCATTTCACAAAACACAACAGAAAGCAGAAAGCAGTGGCCCGAAAAGAGAACAAACAGCGATGAGAGTGGCATGTTACATGCTCATGTTAGGAGGGACAGCTAGAGTAAGTACAAGCCTAAAGGTATGACAAGGGACGTTTATTACCTGAACACACATGATTGGACACTCTCTTGTGCACAGCCATGTCACATATATATTTTATTATTACATTGATAACTGAACTCTTTATTTTGCTCCACTGGACACAGCACTATACTGTATATAGACAGGATGTTGCAGTTAGCAAGGAGGCTGTGCTGAGTGATTAGTCAATTAATTCAAAAGTTGATATTGATGATCGATCATTATGTAAGTCAAAGTCAAAGCAAAGTCAAGCAAAAATAACTTCTTGAAGTGAGGATTTGCTAGCTTTGTCTGTTTTATATCACCATGAATGAAATGTTTTTGGGACTGTTAGACAAAATCAACAATATTAATAAATTGAAACCCTAGGGAGGATAAGTAAGGAAGTACCACTCTCAGTAAGCATCAGCATGGTGGATGAAATAACTTTACAGGGTTGTTGGAGGGATGATATGAGACAAACATAATTGATTGTTATGAGAAATAAAAGCTGCCAAACAGTCGAACCTGTGCTTTAAATGTATCTGCATTGTCAGGGTAGTGTTGAGTTTAGTTCTGATCAGTGTTGACATCGGTTGTGAAGCGCTCGCTGTTGAGCCGTGGGGAGATGTTGTGAGCTTAATTCAGCACAGCGTCTGTGATGGGAGCAGCCTACTTGGTAACTTCAGTGACACACACACTCGCTCCCTCTCCTCTAGCATCCAAGTCAGGTTTCTAAATTGGCACGCACCCTAAAATAGCACGAGCGATGGTTATATCAGATCGTTTATGTTGGTAAAGGCTCGCTCTCTGTCATATAAGCTCATTCCAGGAGGTCTTAAAGGGAAATGTACACAGAACTAAATTATGACAGTCAGATTTTTTTGTCCTCTTTATGTAAAATACATTGATCTCTTGTTGATTCTGATATATTTGATATGTTTAGAAAACCTTCAAATCCTAAATAAAATTCAAATAAATGTATGTCATATAGGTTTGAGGACTACTTGGTAGCACACCATAATGTTGTAACGCTAAAGCCAGTCAGACAAAGCCAAACTTCAGCAGAGGAATAACTTAAATTAAATTAAAAGTGACACCTTGGAATTAAAGGTCTTAAATTGCCTTTACTAATGAAGTCGTCACTGTTGCATACAGTGAGCCCCCTGCACTCTTGTTTGTCCTTTTCATTTCCTGTCCTTTTTTACCACCTGTTCTGCTGTCATCAGCCCTGTCCCCGTGTGTGGGGATGGGAGGATGGAGGGATGGAGGGAAGGAGGGATGACAGTGTGGATTAACTGTGCTGTGTTGTTGCTGCAGTTCACACATTCCAGCCAGCCGATTCAGGCCAGCTCACTGTACCAACACAGAGGCCTCCTTAACCCCCTTCTGGCCTCTCCTCTGGCCTCTCACCCCCACATCTCCCTCTTTGACTCTAACTTCTCCATCCCATATCAGTGTAACCTTTATTTTAATTTGACAAAGAACCTCTAGCAGCTCTGCCTCCCTCTTCTCCTCATGTGCATCACACCGTCCCCATGCAGTCACATCTCTTTTCTAATTTGTGAATCTGATTCAGTGCGTACTAGTGTCTAATAAAGGCCAATAAAGTAAACATGTTTCCTCCCACAAATGATGCAAAGACTCTCCAGAGGACAATCACTAATAAATACTGTATGCTACCTTGTTTTGACCTGTGATTGTACCACCCTCTAGAGGCCAAAGAATGTAATTTCCTAAAAACCGAAAGTCAGGGTGACAAGCATTGTCAGTACATATACAGTAGAAGGCAGTGTCAGTCTTTCTATAAGAACTAGTGACCGTCTAGTTCAGTGTGGTTGGAGTCTTTTCAGAGCTTTAAACGATTAGTAGATGAATCTATTAGTTGATCAACAGAAAATGAATCAGATTGTGATAATTGTTTTAGTTTTTAAGCAAAATTACCAAAAACTTGGGTGGTCCCAGATTCTTAAATGTCAGAAATGAATGATTTTGTTTGTCATACATTATAGTAAACTTAATATCTTTGGGTTTTGAACTGGTGGTTGGATCAGGCATTTGAAAATGTCACCTTGCACTTGGCATTTGATATTTTCTCGGCAATTTATTGACAACACTTAAAACAACTGGCACATTAATTGATAAGGTAAATAATCATTTGTTATACCGCTAGTTCTGTTATGATGGAGGGGAGGATGTGATGTGATAACTCAACAGTTTCTGGACCCTAAATGAGCTGTAGAAGCTTCTCAAAAATGTAATTCACATGACTTTAAGTGGGATTTTTTTTTATATATGTCTTGTGATGTTTCAGTGGCCTTTCACTTTGAGTAACAGACCGTTGGAAACTCTAACTTTTGCAACTTTTTGCAATATCAACTTTAAAGTAAATATATTGCACAAAACGTCTGTAGTCAATTCTTTGATTTAATTATGATTGGCAAAATAACTTTGTGAATGTATTATGTAGTACTTACCAACAATTGGTAAGTTAGTTAAAGCAATAACAGAGCAAGTAAAGGGATTTTACCTACTGATATTTCCTACCACCACATTTCTTTCAGTCTGATGACTTCACAGACTACATGAACAAAAGATTTAGTGCCAACATAATAATAATGAATAGAACTGCTGTTTCACTACCACTGTTACGGTACTGTGCTTGCACTGATACAGAAATGATGATTTGCGGTTTGTAGAGTCATAAGAAATGTACTCAGTGAATGTTGTTTCTGCCACAGATGTGATTTCTCACACGGAATTTATGTTTGTTTCTGTTGTTTTTTGTCAGGGACATGTGGAGGTGGAAGCCGGTAATGAGAACATGAAGTTTGAGACCGGACCGTTCTCGTTCTACGGTGTCATGGCACTCAATGCTCCCACACTGGGTGAGTCAAAAACCTCCTCTCCTCTCCAAATTATTAATACGCTATTAATCTATCTATGAAGGTTAAATTTGTATTGTATAATTTCCTGTGTACTGCCTAAGGCTTAAATGCCTCTACTGCCACCTAGTGACAAATGTTGGAGTACAACAGCCTATTGCAATATTAAAAATGTGAAGTGGACAGTGAAATATTTGGTTGAAATCAAATGACTAAAATATTTGTACATATTTTTCTGTATTAGGAGCATCAGTAGTTAATTAACAAAATGTCTTCCACTAGCATGAGAGCACATGCTGAAGTTTATCTGCAGCTGTAGCCTCATTTTTTGAACAACATATCATTTTAGGAGTTCTGTAAGTGCTACATAGGGTCATCTGTTAAAGCTATAACTACAATACACTGCCCTCAAGATATAATCTCTCTGCAGGACATTTATTTAAACATCAATTTGCCAACATGTAGCTATCACTCATCGATATATAATGCAGATGGAACAGCTGCAGATTAAAGGAGACAGTGGAGAGAAATGCTGGTGAGGCCAACTGCAGCCCTATCTGCTGATAGGTGTGAAGGTTACATGAAACAGTGTGTAGAGTTTGTGTGTGGAGAGTCCAATGCTCCTCATGGATACATTTAGCTTGTTTCTTTCTTTATTTTATTGGTTTATTTGACAGGGTCAAAGTCAGCCTACAAGGCTTATTTTCATCTGTTGTCTTTTGGCTAGATATTAAAAAAGCACCATAGTTGTAGATTTTTTTTTAACCTTCATTTTGCCAGAATAGTTTATTGAGATCAGGGTATTCTTTTTTTTTTTTTTGAGACAGGCTAAAATAGCAGCACGTTTTACAGACAACAAAATGGAAGAAAATGCAGCAGAAAACAGTTAAGATTAAGTCACTATTAAAATTGTTGTACATGCGTTGCGCTACCCGTTGGGTCGAATTCAACACCATGTGATACACTTATTTTAATCTGAATCTAAACTAGTGGTGAACATGGGAAAATTGGTCTATGCTTAAAACAAATACTGGCAAAATTTATTTTTGAATACTATTTATAATATAAACACAATTCATAACTTCCATAAATATAATAAAAGTTACATAGAGAGTGTGTTTTGGAAATCAGTCATAAAATTTAAATAAGCCCCAACAGGAAATTTCTGATCTTCGATCTTCTACTAAGTGATATTAAAAAAATAGCGTTTTAGTTTCAAGGGAAGACGGTTTGGAGGGCTCATGTGTTGGATGCGGAAATGGATTTTGACCTTGAAACTCCTCCCCTACTCCCCCCTGTGTCCCTTCCTCTTGACACACACACACACACACACACACACACACACACACACACACACACACACACACACACACACACTTTCATTACCGTAAATACAAAACTTTACTCTTTTTTTCTGCCAGTTTTGCTACATTTTGTGTTGGTTGTTCCTGTTGTTGACACTCAGCTGCCAGCTTGTCTGTTGTGTCAGTTTCATCTTTCCATTCATGTCTGTTTCTCCTGTGACGCTGACCAAAAGGGCTGGGTTATGAAAACACAACACTGTTAGGGTGCAGGCTGAAATGTGTCCTACACGTCAAGTATTGAAGGCTACTGAGAATCGGAAGCCTGTTTACTTATTCGATAAATATTTATTGATATGAATCCTACATTTTCAACTTTGTAGTCTGAATTCTATTCAGGGAAAGTTCTTGATATAGTAGCTTATGTTTAGATATTTAACATTTAACAAGTTCGATGCCTTTTGTCAAATAAAAGAGGAGTTCTGCATAAAAAACTCAGGTATTGTATCAGCACTAGTACAGAAAAAATTCAAATGATAAAAATAAGAGCATGAATTGGTGCATAAATTTAAACATGGAGAAAAAGAAAGCGGTCTGATGAACTTTGTAAGTTGTGACCACCTGAAGAAAACCCTACATTTTGTCTGATCCCAGCGTTGCTCTTTCCTTTATTTCTATTCTCTTCTTCATGTCAACGCTCGACAGCTTAGTCTTTCAGGGCCATCGGGTGGAGAGGAAGACTTGTGAAGCATTATTTCTTAATTTCCGACCTTTCCTTCCCACCAGCTTTACCTTCACTCACCCATTTCATCAAACTTCTAATCGATCAAACCTTCAGAAGCAGCTCAGTAACGAGAACAATCGTCACACCTGAAAAATTCACCTTCAAACAGTGTAATCTGACGTGTGATGTTCCTGGAGCAGAATATCTCTGTGGTTTTGCATGATCCCAGTCTGGATACAGATTTGTCTCTCTGTCTCCCACTGTCTCACTCACTTTCCCTTCCTCCCCTCCATCCCCCGTCCTCCCTCTGTCTCATCGATCACCTCCTCGTCCCTCCCTCCCTTCTCTCCTCTCAGTGGCTGCACCTCGTCCTCGCCACCTCTCCTTTAAGAGGTTTTCTCTGTTCTCTCGGTTGCCAGGTAAACTTCGGCATGTCTGGGTCCTTTAACACCGAGGACGGTCAGGGTTAAGGGGGTGGGGTGGGTTGCTGGGTGGGGCTTGATTGGGTGGGCAGGCCTGGCTTTTGATTTGCCAGGTGTGGATTTAAAATGTTTGTACATCTCGCCTTAGAAATCTGTTAAATGTAACTTAACGCCTGATCACAGACTGAAGGAAATTGCTCTTGCACTGCTCTTTATGGGTTGAAACAATGGATTATTAGTTGCACTTCAATGTGCACCCCAATCTGTGATGTAAAATACCTACTATGACATCACTGATTGCTTGTGGCCAAAGGTGCAACATGTGAAAAGGTTCCACCCGACAGACAGCACTGTAGCAACAGTTTCCTCCCTGTGTGATTTAGTGTAGATTTACTCTTACTGGCAAATAAGCTCTGTGTTCAACCAAAACGACCTCGTTTACACCTGGTTTTATTGAGCCAGCATTATATTTGCATGTTGAGCTTTGACTCTAGTAGAAGGCAGAGTGATGATGTTCTACTTTTTGGTTTCTGCCTTTAGAAAAATCAATTTGAAGTATAAATATATCTTTTAGTTTAGTTCACAGTATTCTTTACATGTTTGTCAGTAACAAATGGCAGTATAAAAATGTTGAAAATATGTCATAATATATGGTCATTTAGAAAGAGAGCACTCAAGTTTTTGTTTTTTAACTATAAAATCTCACACTGTCGATGGATCCAGATGATCTGCAAATATTTTGCTAATGTGTGGATCATATAAGTAATCTTTTAAAGAGAAATGTCTAAACATTTTTCTGAGTCTAAGATTTCGATCCGTGTGCACTGTTTTTTTTTTTCTTATCCACACAAAATACTCTGATACCTGATCACCTGATTTTATGGCCAGGTGTAAACAGGGTTTGGTAGCAGTGCCTTCACAAGCCTAAAGTATGCACTCAATGTGCATATTCATGGGAGAACAAAAGCAGAGAGGAAGTTGTTTTAGAAAGTAAGAGAGTTGATCAAAGAGCACATCTGCCAAAATGTCAGCACAGTTCTTAAACCGGCAGGGCACTTGGGGACAGAAAATGATCACATGGCACCTCTAAGATAAAATGGAGAAGGATAGGACAACATCACGAGACACCCAGATGAAATTTGAAGCCCCTTGAGCGGTTAAGCTGTCCACTTTGTGCAGCATCAACTTTGGATGCATCCTAATAGCTTCAGATGGTTTCTTCCTCTGCTTGTTTTATATCAGTATTAAAGTGTAAGAGCACTGTAGCTGTTAAATCAATAAAAAGAATTAAGGAGAGAGTGTGGAGCTATTGAGATGCAACCTGAGATATTTAATTATTTTGTTTATTGTTGTCCTATCGCTCACTTTTATGGTGTAGTATAAACCCTAGTTTTCAAAACTAAAGTACATTAATTGCTGGAATAGATTGTAGTTTTTTTTAGAGCACAGTTAGTTTTAAAAACTCATTAAATCTGCGGCCGGTATATTTGCTTTACTTAGTATCAAATGCCCAGTTCCAAATGTAATCCCACTACCATCCTAGTCTTGTGATTATGAATGAAAATGTTTAATAATTGTATTTTCATTATGAGATGTGGCATTAGTGTAGGGCTGAGGATTGTTTGGAATTGGGATCACTCGTTCACTTTCATTTTAAAAACACTAACTCCCTTTGCGAACACCAGCTCGGTTTGGTTGCTTTAAAACCTGATTTTTAAAGACCTGAAGATCCAGTAGGTCACTGTTCTTTAACACTAGACACTATTTAAAACTATGAAATATACATACTTTTAGAAAATGCACACACGGTTTTGGTACAGACTTTTATTACTAGAGTATGTTCTTCAACTTTACTTCAGTGTCCACCCATATTTCAAAATAAAAACTGGAATATGTTTTTTAAAAATGGAAATAGTTCAGGTTCTGCAGCTGTAGCCATCGTCACTGTGAAATCCCCATGTTAGGTCACAGTGAAATCTACGTAAATATTACTAAAGTGAGTACTAAACTACGCTAATTCGTTTGGGTAACAATGTGACTGAATCTGAGAAAATGGAACATCAAGAAACCCTACGTCATGCTTTGCACAAAGTAAACAACTCTGCACTCTGTTTTTCAGAATGTCGTAAACAGCAAATTGTTTGTTTGATAAATCTCATTCATCTTATTAAAGTTTACATGATGTAATCTGTTACTGTTGGCTGTTTTTAGCTAAAAAAGTTAAATAAGTACCAAGTGCTTTGGTTAGCCAAGGGTTTTTAAGTTGTAGATGAATTTGTTGACAGGGTCTAAATAAAGGAAAGATGCCTACTGGATCTTCATATCAACATAATAAAGACTGCCTCATGACTTAATGAAATCTAACCACTAACCAGAAAATTAGCTGTAGATACCCAGGATTAATTTAGCTTAATTCCTTGAACACTAATGCAGTTGACGTGTCCAGGTAAAACAGTTTCCTATGACTCACTGAGGCCCCCTGCTGGAAGATTCACATCTAATGGTAATAATACACAGCTGGTAAAGAGCATGAGTGAGTGTGTGTGCATGTGCGTGTGTGTGACAAGTGTTGTTTCTTTTGGATGAACTGAGCATGTCAGATTAAGAGATAAGCGGCCAGCTGGATGACGTTTTTCGATGTTAGTCATTGTGGTTTCAGTATGTTGGAGCAGAGGTGGAAAATAACTATGGTACTTAAGGAAGTCTTTGAGACAGTTATTATGGTTGTATGAGACGAGAACTGTTAATAACTATGACTAAGAGTCTTACAGTAACAGACTTAACTTGCTGGAACTAGTGCCACCTGTTTTGATTTTTACTAAAAACGTACTATTCATTAACTTTGAATGTATTTGGTTCAGTATTTTCTTGATATTGGAATTAATTTTCATATTGGACTCTTTAATCCTTTAACACCCAACCCCCTGGACACAACATGTTTTCACGGTTTCAGTTGTTTAATCTAAAGCGGCAACGATTAGTCAATTCATCCATTAGTCAATGGACAAAAATTAAACTAGCGACTGTTTTTATTATTTGTTTCAGACACTTTTGAGACCACAATAATGGCAAACACTTGCTGTTCCTGGCTTCTTTAATGGGAGTATTTAAAGTTGAATCACTTTAGGTTTTAGACAGTTGTATCAGATGCTTGGTGTCTTTTGAGTCATATCTCCAGATCAGAAAAACAAAAAGTAAATTCCTGTACACACTCACAACCTCTGAGTTGGTTCATTAAGAGGTTGACCTGGAGCTCAGTCACAAGGAGCTTTGTCATAACAGCTCAATCATAAAGTGACACAGCCCATTATAAAATAATCTTCCACAGCTGTGTTGGAGATGTGTCCATGATCACATACAGCAGCTTATTCATTCAAGATCCCTTCAAGAAACTGTCAAAATATGGGGGCGTCCTAGTTGCTCACCGGTAGAGCTTGCACCCTATATACCAAGGCCTTGCTGCTGCAGCGGCCATTGGTTTGCATTCAACCTGTGGCACTTTGCTGTGTGGCATTCCCATCTCTCAAGCTGTCCTGTCTAATAAAAAAATATATATATTAAAAAGAAAAGTCCCCCTCAAATGAACATGCACGTGTTATAGCCAGTGGTGGTGTGGGCAGGGGTTTGTCCTTTTAAGAAGAGTGTTTGTGGGAATTTACTTTTTTCTTTGTAATCTGAATCTGTCACCTTGAGCTCTGGGATATTGTAAACAGCATTTTTCTGATATTGTATAGACCAAACAATTAAGCAAGAAAATAATTGGTAGATTAATCAACTATGAAAAAGAAAATGGCTGTGCCGTGCCTCGTACCGGGATCATTTTAAAACTGGGTATTCTTTCTGAAAATGACCAAATCTTCATGTTACACTTCATAAAAGCGGGTGGTGTTACAAAGTTAACTTCCACATAGTGCAAATGTCTCAGGGCTGAACAGTGGATGGTAAAAGGTTCAAGTTTTGACAGTTCATTCTCCTCTTTGGACATGTTGTCACTTGCAAATCTTAAGTAAGTTATCCTCCCATAACCTGAATAAACAGAATTTACTTTTGAGGCATTGCGGTGCTGGCTATTGTTTCCACCTCTGTTAAGAAGCCTCAGGTTGCATCCTGCACTGCGCAACATTCAGTGAAAATATTGTATGAATATGTGAGTGTATGACAAGTTTGGTTGGCGTGATGCATTCTTACAAACGCAAATCGAGTCACTGCTTGTTGTGCTGTTGGGAAATTTTGTGTGTCACCGCCTTTGGGTGTGAGAAGCACCACTACGATAGTGAAACACAGGTTATGTACAGTAGAGACGGTCATGAGTTTGCTTGAAATAACTGAACATTAACCACCCCACCCCTTTGTCTCTCTTGCTCTCACAGATTGGATTTCACTTTTGTTTAGATGTTTCTGTTGTTATTTTGTGCACTAGTTAGTCTTATTCATACATATCATTAATATTAACCTGCATTTAAACCTACACCTGCATCTTGTGTTCTCAAGGTCTTCCACTGATGTGTGTTTGCATCATAGAGCCATTAATTCATGAATGGCTTTGAAACAGCAGTGTAAAACCCACACCGCAGCCCTCTGTAGTGATAAACAGTTTCCTGTTTTATGTATATGCAGGACGGTCCTGATAGATCTTTATCACACAATTCTGTCTTTTAATTGCTAATAGGAAGCTGTTAATAACCTTTTGTGTGTGTGTGTGTGTGTGTGTGTGTGTGTGTGTGTGTGTGTGTGTGTGTGTGTGTGTGTGTGTGTGTGTGTGTGTGTGTGTGTGTGTGTGTGTGTGTGTGTGTGTGTGTGTGTGTGTAGAGTTTCGTTCACCGTCCCACTTAAGCGGGTTGAACCGTACATCCTCTCTGAGCGGAGCCGACCGGACAGAGTCGCTCTCCGTCAGCGGCAGCAACAGCCAGCTCAACAACAGCATCCCCTTGCAGCAGTATACACCCGACTTCTACGTCCGAGCACTCACCGACCTGCAGTTCGTCAAGGTTGGTTACACATTTTTAATCTTGATAGAACTAAAACTTTTGGTTTGGGATTTTGGGTCAAACAAAAAAAGCAGTTTGAAGATGTCACACTAGTACATTGTGATAATAGATGAATAGACCAAACAATTAATCAAGAGTTAGAATAATTGGCAGATTAATTGAAAAATAGTTAGTTGTAACCCCAGTCTGAATAAAGCCTTTGTTAGATTGGCTCTTATTGTCTCTGTGTTTTATTGAAACATCTTAATGCTATAATGTCTGGTCAAAGTGGATATGGTTTCAAGTATAGTGGGTCAAATACTGTTCTCTCACTGTCTGTCTCGGCTGTCCCAACGTTGCTTTCTCCAGCAACTGTCACAATATAGTAGTTATTTACCAGCAAGGCAGGCGTGAGCTAGAATTGTAAGAACGGTGAAAAACCAAATGAAAAGTGCCATAAATCCAACATGACGTTCGGACCTGCTTTACACTGATGTAATTTAAATGCTGCTGAAACAAGTTATAAGTAGATTAAAACACCTAAGAAACTGTAATCAAATATAGAGAGATTTAACCCTAGATGCCTCTAAGGCAAATGTGTAACAGTTACTGTTACTGTGTATTTGTCCAGAGATAGATTATTATTTGACTAATTATTCACCCCTTTAAAGGTTGACGTTTTGACGGTTCTGCTTATTCGCTTTCGGAGTTCGGAGAGACAACTCTCATATCTGTCCATTCAGACATGAGAGTGGTATAGATTTTATCTAACTCAATTCTCCTAAAATTTCAAACTGTTCCTGTAACTAAAGACTAAAGAACGCCAACATCAATTTTGATCTCAATCTTATCTCCCCTACCCCCTCTTTCCTTTTAGATCACGCGTGCCCAGTACCAAAACGGCCTGATGGCATCTCGTCTGGACAGTACGCCCCAGTCCCCGGAGAGCGGCCACAATATGGGTCGCCTGGATCAGACCCCTCCCCCAGCCACCGCCAACACCACCATCACGGACCTGGGAGCGGACTCCACCCCTACGGAGAACGGACCAGACGAGACAACGCTTCTCCTCCTCAATGAGCAGAACTCACCGCACACAGCCAACCACCACAGCCAGTTGGAAAACAGCATTTGACACCCACCCACCCCCCCTTCCATACGTTTGCACGCATGCACTACTACGCTCGAATGTATGTTGTGGAGGGGAGGAGTGTGTGTGTGTGTGTGTGTGTGTGTGTGTGTGTGTGTGTGTGAGTGTGAGTGGGGATGCAGATACATGCCTTAGTACAACTGACAAGGCATAAAGAGAAAAGCCATGTGCATGCATATTGTGTAAATATGCAAGGATTTATCAAAACACACCCACACACAGACACACACAGACATACCAAAGTGTATTGTGGGAACTTGCCACATCTACTTTTCCATCATCATAAACATGCCAAACCCAACACTCATTTATGGTAGTTCAGCGACAGAAAGGAGTATTTGTGTGTGTGTGTGTGTGTGTGTGTGTGTGTGTGTGTGTGTTTGCACATGCTCCTTAATGTATTAACTGATGACGAAGATCTGAAGGACCTGCTCGTCTGGACCAGAAAGCTCCTCCCTCTCTCTCTCTCTCTCTGTCTCTCTCTCTCTCTCTCAATGTTAGCGGCGTTCAGAGGCGAGTTTCTTCTTCCTCCTCCTGTGCGTGCGTGTTTTTAAATGTGTGTGTGTCTGTGTGTCTGTACGCATCGCTTCCAACTCACTGTCCCTAATCAGAGACTCAGGGAGACTCCGCCCTCCTACCCCACCCTCCTCTCCTTTGCCCACGTACATACATGCAAGTGCAGTCGAAAGCCGCCAAACAACCCACGCCGCATGTGTAGCATCCTGCATCCCCTCCTCACCATCCATACAGCTATAAGACAAAGACGACCCGAGCATGTCAGCAGAGTTCAAAGTAATATATGTTCCGTAGAAATTTATAGTGAGATATTTATTGATGACTTCAGAGTGCGACGGACACACAAAACTCCTACTGACTCTTTTTTTTGGGGGGTTCGGGGTGGATGTCTATACACACATATATATATATATATATATATTTTTTTTTTTTTCCTTCTTCTTTCCTTGATAGAAGCAGTGTGTAGCCTAGAGCCTTTATCCCAGAGTTGTTAAGAGATTTAGCAGCGATAGACAGCCAGTCTGTATCGTGATTAAGACAATCAATATGATTATTATGAATGTGTTAAATTAAATGTGTAGGGTACGTTAACTGTGGCCAAGGTGCTCTCGAACAGCCTCCGCTTTGTGAAATCTTTTGCTTGCTTCTCTTCGATTTTCACAAACGACAGATCTGAAAAGACGTGATGTTTCGGTTTCAGATGAATCAGGTCGCGTAGGAATCAGTTTTCACAAACGGTGGACGGTATTTGAGAGCACAGAGACGTGGCGAGTCCTTTCCTACTTTATAAGCGAGGGTGCATATGTGTGTTTGTGTGTGTATGTGACCAAAATGGCCATCAACAGACTTGGTGGGAACATAAACCAAAAGAGGGAAACTTGATCACATTCTGACTAGAACATACTTAGATATCTGAAACTTTATTTATTTTATTGAGTTCGATATGTGTGTGTGTGTGTGTGTGTGTGTGTGTGTGTGTGTGTGTGATACGTTGATGTCCATGAGGGGATGAGAAATGTGGTTTTTATTTTGCCTCATTGTGAGATTTTACATGTTAAATAATCCTTTGCGTACAGAGGTTACATTTGGGTTTCCTTTTTTGTAATTCAGATCTGGGGGGGGCCTCTCTAGCATACTGAACAGCGAACCTTAACATTTATTGTTGTTTGTATTTCTGCAGCCAAACACACCGTTCAACACTGGCATCAGCCAAATTTTGTCAGTATAGTTTCTGATTATCACAATGCACACACTCCAATTATATTTTACTGTACCTTCTGAGGAGAAAAAAAAAATCTATCTCTATCTTGTGACGGATTTTCTTTGCCTGATTTCTAGCAGAGCCACATTGGTGTTTCATAATTATATATATTTTTTGTGATATACAGCATGAAAAGTAAATCACACATCAAGTTTTTGTTTTTAAAACCAAAGAAATAGGGCTGCTTTCTTGTCTGGCTATTTCTGTAACAACATGTACCAGAATGCAATGCAGCCTTTTTTTATTTTTAGTAAGCATTGCTCTCACTTTCATCTCTCTTCAGTATCGCTACATATTTTTTCAATACACCTAAATCACAGGTGAATCCATCTGCTCTTTTAGTGTTGTGAAATGGGATTCTGGGAAGCGTAGGACATCAGGAGTAAGAGTAGACAATACACACTAATGGGAAGTGGGTACACCAAATACAACACTTAATTTCAAAAGGCACAGATCATCACAAATTGAAGATTCCTCTAGTTTATGAAGGTGGATTTTTTTCCTTTAATGTTGCTGCTTTCCTGAGATCAACAGTATCAGATTCTCAATCAACAACACTGACATGTTTTCAGATCACTAAATTCCACTTCTGTCAATGAACGAACAGTGTGACATTTTGTTTTATGTAAAACTACCGAAGCATTGTTTTGGTTGCTATGTGGTGTTCTCTCTCCAACAGACATTGTTAATACACTTTTGTTTGTTTCCACTTTTAGCATGGATCTGAAACCAACTTTCATTTCTGTTTTCAAATGAATTGGAATGACTTGTTATTATGAGGAATCTTATTTTGACCTTTTCATACTTTTCACGAGAAAGCTAAAATATCACAAACATTTTAGGAAAATGTATGTCACTTTGTTTGAATGTGTCACGATGGGCTGATGCATTATGGGTCTGAGCTCGCCTGTCCTGGTGTTTTGTCTCTTCAACAGTATGCCAACGATTTATCTACAAGTTGCTTTACATGGAGATGCTTTTATATTACATCCAGTTTATTAAGTGGTCAGTTAGCCTAAACTTTGAGTTTGTAACACAGTGTGCCTCACACTGCCTTAAAATCACTTCAGTTTGAGTCTGATGTCCAGTTTACCTGATCTTTTATATGTTGTGGTACTTTCCCATTTATTTTCTTTAATTGGCAAATGTTCACAGTTACCCTAATCATATTTTAATGTGGAATTCTACAACACTAAAATCCCAGCAGAATGGATTTTACAAATATATTTGGTTGAGTTAAACCTCAGTGGGCAAGGATACAGGGTTTTTTGTTGTTGTTCTTATTTTTGGTTAGCTTACTAGTAAAGGAGGCAAACAATGCATCACGGTTTGTTGGTATGGGGCTGCATAACATTATGACCACCTGGGCACCTTGGTGGTCATAATGTTATGGCTGATCGGTGTATAAGTGTGTTATGTGTAAGTCGATTAATCACTGAATAAAATCAAACCAAAGCCGAATACAATTCTTCAGTCAGCTATTGCTTACGGTGCTTTTTTGCAGCTGGTAACTCTTTGTCTGTTAGACTAGTCACTAAAAAGGTCAGGAGGCTAGTTACCTGCATGAATTACTCAGGCTAGTTCGAATTTGGAACATCAGCTCAGCGAGCTAAAATCTCGTCTCAGTGTCTTTCTGTGAAGAGGTTTCTTTAACTTTGAAAAATATCTCTTAGGTTAAATATCCATATTCCTATGTCCTAAAGATAAATGGGTATCTACTGTACTGTAAAGCTTGAGCACATGCTAACTCCATGTGTTACTCTATGATTCAGTCACAGAGTGAACCTAACGCAGATCTTAGGGGAAAAGTCACTGTGTTTTGTTGTTGTTTTTCATATGTGTTATCCAGCAGCAGGTTTTCATTTTGTATTATTTGTGATCCCACACATGTTCACCTTCCCCAAAGGATAAAGTGTTGTGTGGTCCGGTGCAGTCTGTGGAAAAATTAGTTTCTTCTTGGGGAGAGATTGCATGATTTCGGGCAGCCTGTGGACATCTGTGAGTTCATGAAACTCCCTTTCAAGATACAATCTGCTGCTGTTTTGACTATTCCTCTCAGCTCTCTTTTACTCCATCATTGAGAAATGTATGGAGTATTGAGAATCATGGGATATGTTGTTAAATGCTGACAATATCTTTGTTTAAAAGAAAAAGTCAAATTTTACTATCCAGTTAAATAGTTAATACCCATTTATCTTGTATAATAGGGACTGAAAGCACCAACATGTGTAATCTTTTGAGAATGTCGAAAAAGAAAACCTTTTTGAGAAAATCCTGGTAAGTTAAAGCTAGTGTCATGTAATGAAAATAGCTTTTTTTTTAAAGGTACTTAATCACCACCCACTGATGTTTAACTGAACTAATGGGGTTTATCTGCATTAAGCAGAAATATTTCTGTCTATATTTTTAGATTATAGCTCCTCATTGTTGTTTTGTGAGCAAAGAAAATTTAAAAAGCCCAGACTCCTCTGTGATTAAAGCACTTTAGCAAAGGAAAGAAGTATTTTTCCCAAAAGACCAAAGTTTGCCAAAGTTGCCGGCTCAGTGACTTTGTTGCAATACTGTTACTGACCAGGATTTCATAATAATTTCTTCTCCTTTACATGACACAGGGGGTTTTAAAGAAAGTTTTGCTGTCTACGGCCTGTACAGAAACAAAAAGAAAAGCTTAAGGAACTCACTGACTCACCGTTCTCTTGCCTACTATCTTTTAATGACTGCTGATTTTTTTTTTTTTTTGTGCTCATTCCTGAATTATATTTTACACACACACACACACACACACACACACACACACACACACACCCATTTCAAAGGACTGTTTTTGTTCATTTTGTAGATTTTTATGGCTGAGATTGTTCTAATGTTTTTGTTTATGTGCGTGCCTGTGTACCCCCACCTGTTTTAAATTGTACTGGGTTTGGGTTCATTATGTATGTGTGTGAATGTTTGTGAATCAAGTCTGGCTATTTTTTGTACCTCAGAACACTGTCAGTAATTGTGGTAAACCGCAATCTTTTTTTTTAATTTGTCATGGAATTTAATTTGGGAACAGAGCGAATGGAGCGACTGGCGTTGGGGAAGAAATAAACTGATTCTCCTTCATTCTCTCTGGCATGCTGTAACTTAAAAAACAACAACAGACAAACAAGGTGTAAATACTGTTTTATAATTTCTGTCTTAATGAGTTTTGAAGATGAAGAAAGTTATTAATAAACCTGAGATATATTTCTCTATGGACCTTTGTGATTATCTTGTTTATCTGAGGACTCTTGTTAACCCACTGTGATCCCTATTGGAAGCATATGGAAAGTTTTACTTATGAAAAAAGAAAACTACGCCTTTTGCCAATAAATAAAGCAATGACATGTAAATGAATAAAACATACTTCCTAAAACTAACATTAAGCTCACTTACTATTCAGTATAGTTACATAGAAGTAGATCAAACAAGATTGTTAAACGCTTTTATTTTTCTAGTGTTTAGTTTTTCTTTTGATTAATCACGTAGAACTGATGAACTCATCTATTTACCATTCAAAGCGGTGACAAACTAATATATAATATGTTATACATAATGTAATGTCTAATATTGAAAAGTAATGCACACTTGTGATCGTAGTGAGTTGCTGATTACTGGCTCCATATGTATTTTTCTTTAATTCAGATAATGGTGTTTCAGCCCTCCGGCCTTATTCAAGATCAACAATCATAGTGATTACTGGTACGTATAGGCCACACCCTAGTTGTTACCTTAATGGTGGGACATGATTATCTAATCACCGTCAGATGTGTAATTAACTACGGTGGCCTATACATACCAGTGCCTTTGTCTTAAGTACAAGGTGTTGGAACGTAGTCATGCAAATATCTCTTCTTGGAAACTGGTAGTTTATGACTACTACACCCACTGACAGGAGTCATGATAACCAGATAATCAGTGTTATTCACTTCACCTGTCAGTGCTCACAACAATATGGCTGATTGGTGTATACCAAGTATAATTTATGTCAAATAGTGTAAAAGGTTCCCTTTATTTTTACAAACTGATTTTTGAGGTTAGAAAAACGTATACAGGTTCTTAGATTATATTTTCTTCCTGAAACATGTTAAGCAATCCACTATTATTTCCTTTCCTCTTATCTTAAACAGTGAAATAGTATTGACTCACCTTAGAGGCAGTAAAACGTTAACTGCTATTACATCATATAAGCAGTAGGACAATGACACGACATGATGATGAAACATCTACTTAGTGTATATTGCTGCCAGTGTTGCAGGTTTGTGGGCCACACAAAAAGGAAGTAAAACTGGAATGTGGGTTGAATTTTGAAGCTGAGAAATCCCAATGCTCCTGCGACTGTCCTCTTACATCACTGGAAATTTTTTTGTCAAACTGGTTCTAAGGGTGTGCTAACTACTCTGGATATGATGAATCTGTTTTTAAAATAATTGGGGCAAGGGCAATTTAGAAACCTGCTGTTAGAAGACAGAGAATGAAGGGTTTGGCAGAAAGTGTTTTGTATTTGTACACCTCTCATCACATTGTTTTCATTGTATTAAATTACATCCACCACAACTCCCCCAGAGGGCTCAGTAGACGATTTAGGGCGATAGAGAACCACCAACCCACCATTTCCTTCCTCCAAATAGAGCAGCAGGAATAAATATTGAGCATTACCTCAGTGTTAAAATACTCGTTTGCCATCATAATTTTACTACTTTTTGGTAGAAGTAAAGAAATATTACCAGTAAGTTGCCCATGAAGCACCAAAAGTACCCATTAGACAGCAGAATGGCCTCTGTCAAAGTGTTATAAATGCATAAAGATGTAAGAAGCACTTTCACGTTCTTGGTTTTTGAGTTTAATAGATAATAATACATTATATTTAATAAATTGATCATACGTTTTGTATGTAAAATGATCAACTACAAAGTCATATCAATGAAGTGAAGTAAAAAGTACAATATTTCTATCTGGAATTAGAAGTAGAAGTTGTAGAAAATCCAAATACTCACGTAAAGTATAAGAATTTCAAAAGTGGCATTTATCGGTGTAGTTGCATATTGCAACTCCCTCGCGTCATCCTCCCCTTCTAAAAACAAAGGAGAAACTACAGCGTGTGAACCCCCCTATCTATTGCCATCTATCTATCTATTGGATTAGATGACTACATGTAATGTGAAAGGGGTCATTCATAGTGACAAACCTTTAGCTTCATGGAGTGTTTTAGCATCTTTCAGCTCATTGTTTTGGCTCACTTGTACCACTCTCACACTCAGCATGGTGTCCAGCTGTTACTGCCTCAAATGCTCTGATAAAGCCACTGTACCTGCTCAGCACCAAAGGGCATACAGACAAACTTAGAGACTAGCTGATCAACACAGTTGCAACTAAAGAGCCAGACTTCTTTCTCAAGAGTTGGTGGAGAACAAAACAGAGCGAAAAGAAGAGTAAACATATTGGACTTACATTCGCCAGGTGGCCACAACACAAATAAGTGCTAATTTTGCTCTGTGTCTATTTGCTTGTATGTTTGATACAAGTAGGTGGTAGTCTGCCAATGTTGTGTGTATTGATATAGGCCCAGTGTCCAAAATAATCAAGTAATGTAATACTTTACTTTAAGCCTCCATATTTAGCTTTAAACAGTATTTAAACAGTTAATAAAGGGTTTACACATAATGTAGTTGCAAGCAGATATGAGGTCATTTTAAAGTGTCTATTAATACATTATTGCACTGCACAGTGCTTATCAACAATTATAACTTCTCCTATGAAGACATAATTTATTTTATCACAACTGTGTTTTTTTTACTCTATTGCATTCATTATCTGAATATATCTGGCAGGTCAAGAAATGTAGTAAAGTATACTCTAGTGTTAGTGTTTTACACCAAACGCAAACTGTGGTAGCGTAAGAGGTAATGCACTGACGGAAACATTATTCTTTAGAAGAAGAACTATTAGAAGGCCAAACAGAAGAGACACTGAATTGAGCTCACAGTTCTGATCATTCAGGCCAGGCTTATGTTGAGGTGGATTTTTTTAGAGTGGAGTTTTGCCAAAGGAGCAGTACACAATTGTGAAACGTGTTTATTGTTTAGCATTTCAGCAAGAATATCACAACTTCATAGATTTTTTTATTTCACGAATACCATAGTGGCATTTTTTACATTTGCTCACTTACTCCAGCTAAATAAAGAAAATAATAATGAATGGGATGTGAAAGTGCTGCTCCAACACTCATCCCTGATGCACACAGGAAACAGCAATTACAAGAGAGTGATTCACAGAGGAATACACATGTTAAAGTGGTTAAAACACACCCTCACTATTAGGTATGAGGACACACGCAGCTTCATACCAATTAAATATTTCCACTGCTTTTCTCTTGATCCGGCTACATTGGATCAGATGAAGACAAAGTAGTCCTGATTTAGAAAGAATGTCCCAAACAAGTCTGATAATAAAAATAAGCGTTTCTAAAAGCTTGAAAGTCATTGTTTGATTTTGAGATTTTTCAACAATGAAGAACAGAAGTAAACTCTGGACATTGAGTGTTTTATATGAGAGATAAAAGTCATTAAGACGTGATGTTAAAGAAACACAAGGAAGTATGAAGAGGATTTGAAAAGAATAGGGCCACACTAAAAAGGTAATTAAATTGGTAATAAGTGTATAAAAACACAACTTAAAACTCAGCAACACTGAATACCCAATAACAACAGAGAAGCCTGTTCACTTTCTAAGGTATCTCTTTGTCTCTCTATAGGCACAATGAGTTCAAACACACTTTTAAACAAAAAAAAAGACGCTAGATGACGTATAACAACAACAACTACACGCTGGACTGGTTGGTTGCTAACCGTGGCTAACAAGCAAACAATTTAAAGCTGAATGATTTTAATATTAACACAAAATAAGTGCAATGCACCTTAAATATTTTACCCTGCTATGAGCTGTTCCTTAACCAAACTAACAATTGGTTAGAATTTACATTAGCACTCCTTCAGGTGAATAATACAATTAAACACATTAACCAAAACTAACACTTAGCTAGCGATTAGCGTTAGCGCTCTTTTCAGTATTAATACAATGAAAGTTGAAGTTGTTCTCTTATTTTGCACAGACAGTGTTTACATGTGGAAAGCCATGTTGCATTTATGTATGCGTCCAGTGGGGCATCACAATAAAATCAGGTATAATGTGTTAATTCCACAATAGGAGATATGTTATGTTGTTGCCTAACAACAGTTTTGGTGTAAAAAGCCTGCATATATCGGTATCGGAAATTGAGAGTTGGACAATATCGGAATATCGGATATTGGCAGAAAAGCCAATATCGAGCATCCCTACTCAGTATATAATATGAATATCATTACATTACTACAGCCCTTCCCCCTCCAGACAGTGTAAATCCACATCCTGTGAAGCAGGTTGACTACAACTGTGAGTGACGTAGCTTTGCTTTGAAACACAGCATGACAGGGAAGTGAGGAAATATCCAATTCTGCCACTGTTACGCAATTATAAAATACAAGCAAGTCTACTACGGCTGGTGGAATTTTTTCCCATGTAAAGAACCACAAAACCCCAAAGGGCCTCTTCAAAGACGTAATATTAGGAAATAGGTGATAAGCATTTCAAGCTGTACTTTTTGTGTATTTTTGTGTATTTCAGAGATAAACTTTTGACTAAGCAATATCTTAAGTAATATTTATCATTATTAGACCCTTTACACCAGGGGTCTCAAACTCAAATTTTAGGGCCACTGCTGGTATTGTCAGGGCTACTTTTTTCACATACTAAACAAGAAAATGCATACAATCTATACATTCTTATATATATATATATATATATATATATATATATATAAAGCCCTGAAACCTGCTCTCTTCTTATCAACCATTTGCATACATTTATGAGCACGTTTGACCTTTCTTTCCATTATTATTTATTTATTATTATTTATTAGTAATTTATTTTAATTGTATATGAAGGGGTAGTTCAAGCAGAAACTTCAAGCAGATATTGCAGTATTTCATCATCACGTTGTACGCAGCAGAGAGGACCATCCCACTTCCTGGGGAAATCCCTTCTTGACAGTAATGTGTACAAAAACCCTGCAGGTTAGCACAGACAGGCAGATCAACATTGACAGAGCAACTGTTGGGATCTTAACCAAACACACTAAAGCAACTTCTAATCTACTGACCTTAACAGGTAAAATGACTTTTCTTATGTTTTCTTTTTTTCTGGAGCAGATTTTAAACACGATCTTTTGCTTTTTTAAGTTACTTTGAGTATAGTTGTGGATTGAATCTTGTTACAGGACAGTTTCTTTAACATTTACAGCCTGTTGTGTCATTAAAAACTGCTAGAAGATCTATTCTGTCGGATGAAAACCTTTTTACTATGATATGGCAGCTGTACAAGCACCTTGCAGTCACATGCTGATACAGTAGTGAGTCATGAATCACTGCAGCAGCAGACATAGATGTAGCCTTTACAACAGAGAGTAAAAGGATAAATAATTATATTCAAGGAAAGGAAATGTAATAACAATGGAAACAGGCTAATAAACAGGTAGAGTTAAATTTGAAAATCTAGCTACATTGCCTGAAGTTGCTTTCTGTCTTCCTACAGAAACATGGAATCTGAGATGAAATGCAACATGAGCGAGATGTGGAGATCCAAGATGCCCCAGGGACTGGACTTGGAGATTACCCACCACCCACTGACAATGAGGCGCGTGGTCAACCTCATCATTGCCATGGAGAGACTGAAGGGCTTCAGTTCAGAGACACTGATGAGCACTGAGTTCAGAGATGAAAACCTGCTAAACATCATGCTGGAGAGCATAGTGGAAGGTAATCACACAGACAAGACTTAAACGCTATTGCATTAAAAAGCCCTGGACTGTTTTCTCTGTAACCCATCCTGCCGTAAGTCCTCCTAAAGGAACTGTGGGAAGTTGAAGGGAAGTGAACAGTTCAGTTACAGATCCTGTTAGTCTAACTTTAAAGTTTATTATTTTCTGTAACTGGAAACCAATTGAACTAACTGTAACACCTGTGAGTGAAGCCCTTATGTCCCACACTCAGTCAGACTGTATATTGCTATATCTCTATACATCTCTATTATTGTCCTGTTGTCTGCTGTAACTAATATGTGGGTGTTTAGGGTTTGTTAAAAGGACTTTTACTGTTCCATAAACTAAAATATTCTGTATATCTCCAGTGGGGTGATGAAGTTGTTGATAAACAGCAGTAAATTACTCAGATTTTTGGCCCTTCAAGAATCAATTGCGCATGAAGAGACACAGTCTATGGCTGTTATTGCGATTCCTGCTGCTTGTTGATAAAAAAGAAAACATACTCTGAAAAACATAACTCAACAGATGTCAATTTTTCTTTGCCCCCATCAGAGAAAATTGTGTTTGAGCGCGGAACAACTCCAACAGCGCAGTACAGCAAGCGACGCGAGGTCCAATGCAGCGTGACCGACAGCGAAAAGAGGAGCTTAGTTCTGGTCCCGAACAGCATGGAGCTCCACGCAGTGATGCTGCAGGGAGGCTCGGACAGATGCAAAGGTAACTAACTGCATGTGACAGATAGCTCAGATGGTTGGAAAATCATCCTCTGGGTCATGGTAGATGTTTGCAATAAGGGTTGACAGGTTTGGTTTTAGTTTATCTGACAATTGTTGGCTTGAGATTTTAAGCTGAAGCTGTTTAATGGTGATAATTTATTTATTTTTCAAATGTAGGCCTACACCTAAAATGTCCCCAAAATTCAGTGTTTTCACCACTACTGCAGGATGGAAAACACACAGTAACACTAATACCGAGCTTGTCTTGGCTCTGTTACATAGACACAGATGTGAACTTTTAGTGAAGTGCACAGAAGACAGAGGTTGACATTGTCTTTCAGTTTTCATGAAAATGAACCCTTATACTCTGCTTCTCTCCTCAGTCCAACTGAACATGTCAACCTACTTGGACCGTACACCCAGTGCTGAGGCTCAGACTGTGGCTCTGGGCATCAAGGGCACAAATTACTACCTGTCCTGCCACAAGGATGGAGAGGAGCCAACCTTGCATCTGGAGGTAAAAACTGTGACTCATTACACAAATCTCACATAAAGATTACACACTTTGTAGTCCTGCTGATTTGATCTACCTGGTCGTCTGACATGTCATCTTTTCACACCTCAGGTGGTGGACAAAGCCAGTCTGGCGAACATCACCTCGGACAGCGACATGGTGCGATTTCTCTTCTACAAACAGGACTCCGGTTTGAACATCAGCACCCTGACGTCTGTCCCCTTCAGCAACTGGTACATCAGCACAGCAGAGGAGAACAACCGGCCGGTGCAGATGTGCCAGGAGAGTGCCAGACGCCACCGAGCCTTCAACATCGACAACCTGAAAGTGGATCCAACAACTGAGGATCAAGTTTGTCCCCTTTTGAATGGACAGTAAAATACACTGCACTTCAGATATTTTGTATTGTGTTCAAAAAAATCAGCAACAAAGATATCTATTTTTGTTTTAAATCACTACCACTGTTGACTAGAACGACTTCTGCAAGTTTTACAGATTGTTTATTTACTGTATGTACCAAGTACAAAAAGTAAGATGCTTAATGTATTGACATTGTCAAGTATCACCACAAGGTGGCATTATTGTGCTGCCTGGTGAGCACCTTTTGTATTTATTGTGCTGAATGACATGAAACGCTATTATTGCTTTTATCTATTAATTTATTTTATTTTAATTATTTATTAACTAATTAATATAATATTTAATATATATGTATCAATTTTGAAAACTGCTTTCTAACAATTATTTAAATGTGCAATGAATCTTTAATAAAGCCTTTAATTTTCAGTATTTGGATTCGTGTTTTATATGCTCACTCAAACAGGGATAGATCACTTCACAACAGACATTAGTTGTAGCCCAGTTCTGAAGCCAGTAATCTTAAACAGAGTTTGAGCTATAGTACCCTTATCTATCTCTTATTATTATTATTATTATTATTATTATTATTATTATTATTATCAAGGCCATAACTGATCATAACTGTCCTGAAGTTTTAAGTGACAGGGGGTTATTTGATGAAACACAATAATATTTAGGAATCGGCAGTAAATTATGCGTCTATTATGATAATTAGTAAATATGTATACTATTAGTACACTTTTATGCTACATTATACTTCTACTCCACCACACTTAACTTATTATTAGAGAAATATTCCACTTCATTTACTTGACAACTCTACTTACTTGGCAGAATGGAATTTTGCATACAAAATCTTTGATCATTTAACAAGCGATGCATTTGTAATAATATCTATAGATATATATTATATAATATATATCTATAGATATATAATATATATATATATAGATATATATTATATATATATATATTTATATATATATTAATATATAATATATATATATATATATATATGATATATCTATATCTATATAGATATATATCTATATATATAAATATATATAGATATATATTATATATATATTTATATATATAATATATATATATATATAATATATCTATAGATATATATTATATATCTATATCTATAGATATATAATATATATATATGTATCTATAGATATATATAATATATATTATATATATATCTATATATATATAATATATATAATATATATATATATAATATATATCTATATATATTTATATATATAATATATATTATATATATATATAATATATATTATATATCTATATATAGATATAGCTATATATTATATATATATATCTATATATATTATATATATATATCTATATATATATAATATCTATATATAAATATATATAGATATATAATATATATCTATATATATAATATATATATAATATATATTATATATATCTATATATATATATATATAATATATATTATATATATATATTATATATATACCTATATATATATATATAATATATATATAAATATCTATAGATATATAATATATATCTATAGATACATATACAGAGGAACTATTTTAAGTAACGGATCTTACAGGGCGTGTCGGCGTTCCTTGTTTACGTTCTCTGCTCCAATCAGCGCTTTGTTCTTGCGCATGCGTGTTGTTTTTTCGGAATTTAAAATGGTCCAATCAGAGAAGAGGAGGCAATTTCAAACCCGGATGCGCGAGCCCAGTTGTTAGCTACTTTTTAACGTATCGTAAACTAAGAAGTTTAACGAGGCGTATTTTAAAATCATTTAGGTTATCTGGACCACGTCGAGTGAAGAAACTGAACTCTAACAGAGATGGAAGAAGGAGAGACTGTATCGATACTACCCAGAAAAGGTTAGCGAGCTTGTTAAGTTGCATAAAAGTTAGCTCAGTTAGTTAGCGTTAGCTAGCATCGGTTAGCTCGTTCAAACCGTGACTGATGGCAAACATTTCATGTCTAGTTAACATTAAATAACGTAACAGCGTTAACGACGAGGCTTTATATTAGTTCTTCTGAAGTTAGATTTGTTACTCGTGTAAGCTCCCTTTCTGTTTCTTCTGATGCTGCGCTGTAATGACAAAGTATAAACTGTAGAGGGTGTAAACAATGCCGTAACGCAAGCTGTTTACTTCTGCTATGCGTTCAGCTTTTTCTTATTAATTACGTTACGTTACTGTGTCAATAAGCATTACATACCAGTGATGACAGTATGAATACAGTGCAAACAATGCATGGTTAAGATCCTCGTCCGTTTCAGTAACATTATCTGGAGGTGAGAGTGGATCAAATCGTTATATCTGAAAACATGCATTTCTGTCTGATTGTTTAACAATAATAAAGAACAGCGCTAGGGTTAGTGGTTAACAGTGAAAGTAAGTGCTACATTAGCTATATGAAATGGGCTGCAAATAAGTTAATAGTTATTCCTTTTATCATGGATTCTTCTTCTATTCATTTCTATATTCATTTCTTATTAAACTGTCAGAAAGCAGTGAACAAACTCAACAACGTTCACATTTCAAAAGATGTGTGAAGTCTGAGATTAATTATTATTCATACAATTAATCAGTTATCAACACTTTTGTTGTTGTTGTTTGTCGATCAACTAACAAATTAATTGACTACTCATTTACTCTAGTGCAGTCACTTTATTTAGATTCTCTACAAGAGTATAAATGTGTCACCAACCCGCAGCCAGATGTCAGTAAGTTTCTGTGGATTTGTCTACATCCACCAGAGCTCTTATTCTAGATGTTGGTTACAGCTGCTGCTGTTTCATGTGGATTAAAGAGATATTCACCTTCATTGTTTTGTTTCTCGCAGTGTAGTAGACAGTAGATTTACTAAACTTTTTGAGCTCTTTTTTTGTTGCATCCAACAAGAGGAACTAAACTGTAGTTCTGTATGTAATATAATGTGGTTGTGTACTAACATTGTCCCAAATGTTTTAATCAATGTTCAAAGCCAGAGAAATCTGTAACTTTATTCAGGTTATGGTGCGTTTCACCAGTCTCTTTGTGCAAATGCTAACAGCTCCTTTGTCTGCTGAACAATGTAAGAGACACACTGATCTTTAAGGTGAAACTGCTTTATTTTATTTTAATCACTGGGCCCGTTTGTTTTGGAGAGGAAGAGACCACTGTGGATAATTCGGCTCCTGGTAGAAATCTCTTGAACGATGAACACTGAAGGAATCCAAAACGGGAGAAGCTGACTGCATAATGATACTTTGTCTTTTGTTATTGTTTTCATGTGGGAGACCCTCTAGTGGCAGAAATTACATATTGTATGTGGAATTCACAGTTGAGTATAATATATCAAGTAATTCATGGGACCAGTGCTGAATTCCTTTTTTCTGTTTTTTCCTGTCACAGAGCTGCGTAAGCAGAAGCTGATGGAATACCTGGCAGCAAAAGGAAAGCTGAAACAGCCTAACCCTAAGTAAGGAAATATTATAATATAATATTATATTGTTATAAAGCTGTCTGGTTGCTTGTAATGTTAAGTAACAGAATGTTCTAAATAAATAACAATTTTTAAATTGAGAGGTTTGGGCTTATCGCCCTGTTCATTGTTTTTAGGACGCATAGTTACAATACCATTATACCATTCATCTCTAAGAAAACTGAGGCTATACTACACAAAAACACTTGATTTAAAATGTTTAAAATTTTTGTTCTCAGGCCATATCTCCGGGATGACAGTCAGGTTAAGAAGCCTGTGACTTCTGCACTAAAGGTGCGTGTGAACCCTTATTTGTGCACATACAGAAATGTTGATATTAATGTCATACTGAGTTGGCCTGTCAGTCAGGCTTGATTGCTTATGTGATTCAGAGATCTGGAACTATGATAGTGCAAGTTGTTTTTTTAAGTTGTTTTTGTTTTAACAGGTTGTTACAGGAAAAGAAAACAAGGCTCCAGCTCAGATTTTCAGCAATGACCCCACAAAAACCACAAAGCAGCCTGCCAGAATGCCGTTGGGCGTCACTAACAAAAGTAATGTAAAAGATAGCATCCTGACTGGACGTAAGAGCAATCGCCCACCTGCAACAACTGGCCAAGCACAGCCAAACCATGATAAAAATCTTGTGTTCACAAGAATGAATTCCGTTGTGTCCTCTAAGTCCAGGCTGAATGCAGCCAGCCACCTCAAGAAGCGGCCAAACACAGGAGCACAGTCTTTAGGCAAAGCTTCTTCATATTTAGCTCATACTGCTATGACAAAATCAAATAGCAGATTTGGCAGTAGCTCAAATGCTGCCTCGTCACTTCCAGTAAAAACAGTTAGTTCCAGATTGAGTCTTGGCCCTGTTGTCAAAACAAAAACAGGACTTATCCCGGCAGTGACCCAGCCAATAAATGGCCTAATTCAAAACTTAACACAGACCTCTACCAAAGCAGCTAATAAGTGTGAGTCCAAAACCTCATTATTGGTTTCTGTTTCCACGAAGTCTGCCAAGGCTCAGAGAAAAACATTACCTACCACTGCTCTTATAGATAAAACAACTGTTACTTTGACTGCAAGAGATGGGATTAAAGTTCAAGATCACAACAAGTCTAACTCTAGACCACTTTTGAGTAAACATTCTCATCCATCCTGTAAGAGTCAATTATTGAGTGGACTGAAATCAATGTCCAGCAACTCCAACTGCACAGCTGCCCCTATTAAGCCATTGGGGAGAGTTGGGATGTCAAAAACGAATCAATCAGCTGGACCAACCACCAAGCTGAAATCTGAGGGTGAAGGGGAGAAAAATAGGAAACATTGCAGAGTTCACGCCAGAACGTCCTCAGGACAAGTGGGCCCACGCTGCTCCAGCAGGGTTATGCAAGCTGCTATGGCTGAGCTTGGAGGGAAACCCAAGACATGTAAAGAGACAGATAGCAGGAAGGGACAGATTTCAGCAAATGCCCCACCACCAAAAACTGGTATAAAAAGAACAGGTGCTTCAGCATTGCCCCAGACAGTGCCACGGCCTGCCAGGACCATCTGCTATACAGGCCAGGCCACAGACATGAAGACACCAAAGTTTCCAGTCAGTGTCATTCCCCACACTGAGGGAAAGAAACTGACTGCTGTCCAGGTGGAAAGAATGTAAGTAGAACAGTGCAGCCAACATTGTGTAACATTTAGGAAAATCTATTGGAAAGAAATGGAATATGATAATCATAGCTATGTTTTCATTAGTGCCACCTCAGAATAAGAATTGTTATATTTGTTTATTTAACTGTGATAGCGTAATAAGAATATTTTGTGTCATAAATCAAAAAAAAATAATCGTGATCTCAATATTGATCAAAATAATCGTGATTATTATTTTAGCCCTTATCATGCAGCCTCAATGTCTATGTTGGAAAATGTAAGTAACACTATCGTGAATATTATTTCAGCAATATTGCACGGCCCTCCTTGTCTTATTGTATGTGGTAACTAGCAATGACTTTAGCTGTTCTACTGGAACAATACCATGACATTTTTTTATTGATGAATTTTTCTTATACTGTATATGAGGCTGGGTATTCTAACAAGGGAAATTTCCTTGTCACAGCAGCAATTACTTGAAATAAATAAATACAAATATATAAAAAAACTATGATAAAAACTAAACTATGGTATGGTGGTAATTTGAAAAAAAACTAAAACAGAAACTACAACATTGATCAGGTGTTGTAGAGTCTGACAGCGGCAGTCCAGAGTGTCATACAGTAAACACATTTTAAGGGATATCAACACAATTACCTACCAAAACCTTTTGTTGTCCATACAAGAACAAAATAAAATAGTGATATTCAGCAGGATAACAGAATACAAGCTAATACAATGAATCTGACCGAACATTCGATGCCAAGTTGGAGTGGACCAGGCTGTGAAATATTCACAGTTAACATAAGGAAAGTGTTTGGGGAGTTGAAAAGTTGAAACGTGCCGGAAATTGTGTAAATTGGCAGATACAGATCTTCCTTGGTTCAATACCGCTGTTGTTAACAATGATTGTTGTTCTGCGTAGGTGGACAGGGTCTGGTTTCATCAACAGTTTACCCTTACAGTTGCTGTGACGTACAACTTCTTATAATTTTACAAAACAGACAAATGGGAAATTCAGCATATGCTTTCTGTCAGGCTGCTCCCTGTGTAGCTCGAAAGTCTGAGAATTGGTTTGGGAATCCGCATGGGAAGATACTCATTAGAGATGTCCCGATCAATTTGTTTGTGCTCTGAACATTGGTCCTTAAAACTGCACCCTCTGCTCTATTATTTGGTCTCAAGGAGAAAACTACAGGAATGGCGGGAAGCTAAGGGGATTTCCTACAAGCGTCCTCCAATGCCAGTGAAACCTCAGGTCAAGCGCACTGTGGCTGTGCCCCAGCCTTTCTGGACCACCATGAATGAGGAAGACGAAGCTCACTCCCTCATCTGTGCCGTGGACAGATCTTTGGTTGATTGTATCAAATTGCTTGGAGAGGTACATGTCATTATGCCTTGTTCATCTGGCCTTTTCATCTGATGTAATATCTCACTGGAATTTAGGGGTGTGGACATCTGGATGTGTTATGGGCAGTGAATAATCATATAATTTGTTTCAGATGTGGTTCAATACAATAAGTACTTTGGTTAGAGCATATGCTCTTTCTTTTAGTAAATGATTTTGTCTGCTTCACACCAACAGGGTTGCCCTCCAGACCAGGTGAAGGAGGTCCTCTCACGACTACCAGCTGTGTCCCAGAAGTTTGCCAAATACTGGATCTGTCAGGCCCGTCTGATGGAACAAGAGGGCAACCTTGATGTCCTTCCTATGTTTGAAAAGGCTGTTGGTGTTGTGTTGGAGGTAAGACGTGTGGGTGTAAAGATTGAGAGGACATCAAATACCTCATTCTGCACGATTGGCCTGAAAAGTAGCCTGTGCAGGCAAGATTTCCTTATGGTCACCATTATGGTTAAATTCTTGTCATCAACGTGTTGAAATCACTGGATTGGCAAGAAACAGATGTCTCTTCTTATAATAGTTTCTCACTTGAATTTCCAAAAAATAAACTATGTTCTGTCTGGTAACGCAATATGAGAATATATAATAATATATTATGGGATGATGGACTGACTGATAATTCACACAGGTTGATATATCAGCATCTGTTAACTGATCACAGATGCAGTATTTTAATATCGGCATGTATGTCCGTCTATAATAGGACGATGTAGTAGTGCACAAAATGACTGTACATCGTCCCAATCCTTGTTGATAAGTAAAAAGATATTTCACTAAAGAAATGCCCAAGATATACTCGAGGTAAATGAGAAACATAACACAGTTTGTCCTTCAGGGAGAACTGACAAGCTAATTTTTCAAACAGAAAATGTCTTGCTCAGTATATAACTTTTGCTACAGATGTCAGCCGATATATGGTTTTCAGTTTTTGTAAACTCTCAAACATGTATCTGCATAAGTCTAGTCTAGTTTAGCCACCTGTTTATTTTATCTATAAATTGTTTCTCAAAATGAAATTACATATATTAAGATAGATATAAAATGTCCATATTAGAGGACTTTCTTGATATCAGAAACCTCCAGTTAATGGATTAATTATATTAGAAGATCGTAATAGAATTTAAAATCATTTTGGCCAGTGTTAGCAACTACAAGACGTTCATTCAGCTGGTCAAATTGTGACATTTTCTTTGCAATAATAAGCTAATAAATTCAACACAAACAACCAATGTGGTAACCCTACTGTAATTGATGAGCAGCTTGAGCACCAATACTAGCATTTTGCTCGACCTCTTAGAGCCTAACAGCTCAGTTTTTATCATCAGTGACAAGCCAAAGCAGCAGAGAATTTGGTTGTGCAAACAGCCGTTCAGCTCTGATAGCTGACTGGGTTTTTAATTTCAGTGTGCTTCTGAGAGAAAGATCACTGTGTCTAACGATAAGAAAGATGTTTACATTGCATTATGGCTGTTCAAATGCTCAGAACCCATGTAATTAGCAGTTTCATGTATCTGTGTCTGTAGAACAAAAGAAATTGCAGTTCTGATATAAAAAAAAATATTATTGTTCCATCCTCCTCTGTGTAGTTCAGGTTTTATATTGTTCCTGGCAGCTTGATTTCCCCAACACACTTGTTATGTTGTAATCCAAAATGAATTACTCCTTTTTGTGTTGCTGTCAAGTTTCCGCCTGTTTCTTTTATTCTAGCCAGTGGACGAGCTGCGGACTGTGGTGTTTGAGATTCTGAAGAAAAAGGACGAGATCCAAGGTAGTTGGCTTGCATGTCTTGTTTGCAACCTCAGTGGTTTAAACCATTAACAGACAGACATTCTGTTGCACACCTTAAAGTCATTATTTTTTATAAATAAATAAATGCTACATTTGTCTTGAATTTCTTGAAAGTTGTAGCCCCCATGCAGACTTGGTAGCTGTAACTTGATATAAAGTATGCAGTTCTTGTTACATTCTCTCTTTTGTTTGTATTTTTCAATAAATGTGTCACTATGGTCTGCAAAGACAAAATTGCAGTCAGGTGGATACATAATTTCTCCCTATAAATTGGACACATGTAGCACATTGTTGTAGCCATGCGACTACCTATGTTATAATAAAATTAGTAATCATATATTTCATACCTGTAGTACCATTGGTACCAGCCTTTGTCGTGTAGTTACAATCACACACAAGGGTTATAGACATGCAAATAAGAAGAGATGGTAGACTGATGGGCTGCCACTTAGCGGGGGCAATTAGTGGCAATGCCCAGAAGGTGAATCAGCAGTCCTCTAAAACAGTTTTCACAAAAAATATCATATCTCACAGAGAATTATTACTCATTGTTTTAGTACTACGGTCTGCAGGTTTTTGTTTGCGTTCCCTTTTAGAGCTCTGTGTGTAGTTATTCTTATTGGCTATTATTAGTCTTAGTTCATTCTTACAATGATAAGGTTTATAATTGACTTCAACTCAGATTTTCATGTTTTTGTCTGCATCTGTAGAAAGTGATGCAGAGGATGACCAGATTTCAATTCCTGAGAGTAACAACGACCCAATGATGACTCCTAACCCTGCCAGAGCCCTCATTTGTGGGGAGAGAGGAGACTCATCTGTCGTAAAGTACAAGATTACAGCAACTCCTGGGTATGTTTGAGTCATGTTTAGGAAATCTTCCAGAAACTATGTCTGTAACGTTAGCGAGTTCGTTTCTGCTTTGTTGAGTGGAATAAAACACATTTGTTAGTGGTCCAGAGAAAAAAAAATGTAAACACAGCTTCTCCATGGTATGGAACATAAAACACAACATTTTCAGCAGACATTCATGCATAGTAAAGTTTTATAAAAACAAGTTGAACAAAAAAATTAAATAAAAAAAAACATTTTCAGTACTTAGTAACACCCCTTCTGGCAGATATCAGTTTGAAAATGCTTTTTGCAGATAAAAGACTCTTTAAAACAGTCTTTGGGCCACTGCTGGTATTGTCTCATATAGAAACAGAAACACAAATGAGGGCACCATCACACATCAAAAGCATGTGTCAGCTGGTGGGCGCATATCAGCATAAAGACGTTTTAGGGAGAGACAGACATGTCTGGTTGTTGTGTTTCTTTCTTTTGTCTAACCCCAAATGTTTCTTCTACTTCATATATACTGCTTGTCTTCATTATTTCTTGGAGGCTGAATAAAGTTGACAATTAGGATTAATCTTTTTTCTTTGTGTTCCTTCAGTGGCCTTCCAAACCAACAGAAAGGACCGGCACGCGTCAACGGCCAGGAGGTTCGCTTCTTCACTCCCGTTAGACGCTCAGTGCGAATCGAGAGAGCCTCACTCCGATATCCTGCGTCCCTCCAGGACCATGATCTTTGTGTGGCCTCCTACAATGACCTCATCTCCGAGGAGGAGAGAAGAGAAGAACAGCGGGGTGGGGAGGCCAGCCCATCTGCTAACAGCACGCCAATGTATGTCTACAGACAGAACGAAGCACTTCAAGACAAGGTGCTCGTTCAGCTAGTCTACGATGAAGGCATTTAGCTTTAGGTGCTAACTTTAGCTTCACCAGTTTGCAGTTGTTAAATGCAGATGATGATGAATTTTTAACTGTTCACACAGCAGCAAGAAAAAAAGTAAAATGTATGTGTGTACTTTGGTGTTGTCAGATCTCACCCTTTCTCTGGAAAAGAACCTGACAATTAGGTAATGAGCTGTTTTATAGCAATAGGAATTTTTTCCACTTGTGCTTATCCCTTTGCTCTTTGTATTATTTTGTTCCTTCTACTAATGTGTACATAGTTATGTAAAATAAATGTGTTTTTTAAACCTATAAAGTATATCCCCTGCCCTTTATTAATCTTGATCTAGCACGTGTTCTCTACACAACAGCTAGTATTACAAAAGTACAATGAAACTACCTATTGTTTTTTGCCTTTGGCATGTCTGAGTTGGTGGAAAGTTAGTATTGGTTGTCTGTACATTATGTCTTACACTGGTCCCACCCCTGAATGGCATGCTAGAAGTGATTGTTGCGATACCAATGATACAAGCATGACTAAACACTGCTGACGATAATAAGGTTTCATCAACTAAACTGAATTGTGTAGAGGCTACTTGTTGAGTTGAGTTGAGTTTAGCTGGAAAGGCAGCATAGCATCTCTTCCACAACTGGGAATTGCTGACTGGACCTCGTCCATGACGTTATAATTTAAATGTGCTTTTATAAGTGTGTTAGAGATTACACTATTTTAACGCCCATAGGCATTTAGTCCAGATTTCCGGGAGTACCTTGGAAAAATTACGTTTCTTTGAAATACTTATTACATTATTGATTATTAATTATGATTATTATGACTTATATTACGAAGTGGATGATCTCTTCAAAGTATTGTATAAAGGTCTGCCAAACACAATCCTTCGTCCAAACATTGAGGTGCTGATCATCTCCCGATTGTGTTCCTTTACTTTTCTACGTATTCTTTTCTTCACTTTCTTTTTGGATCCCAAACGTTGTATGAGCCCAGACAAGTGTGTACAAAACATACTATGTATATATTATATTTTCATTAGAGATCATATTTATTACATATGTGCAATGTGCACCTCACCAATATCAGTGATGCTGGATAGATGAGTAGCAATGATCTTCTGGGCTCTTTCAATCACCCACTGCAGAGTCCTGTCCTGAGCCGTAGCTGTCCGAGCTGCCAGTTTGTGATATTTCCAGTCAGGATACTTTCTCGCTCCTCTGTAAAAGTTAACAAGAGCCTAGCACAGGATTTTTTTCTTTCTTAAGCTTCCTTAAGAAATAGTTGTTTTTGAGCTTTCTTAACCAGTGTGGAGATGTGAGATGACCATGACAAGTTCTCTGCAAACTGGTGGGGGTACAGGCTGGCAGGGATGTTATTCGTTATGTGCTGGAGAACCAGTTTCTCTGAGAGTGAGTGCCGCAGGGTCTTCCGTGACAATAATATGTTAAAAATGTCAGTAATGATCAATCAACTAGCTGATTGGCACATATGTTTTGTACACAGCCAGATAGGTTTTCAGGCCCAGCCCTTTAGTAATGTAGGAAGTATGACTCAGCATTAAACATTGAAGGAAATTTTTTTTTTCCCCTTTATGAAATAAATCTTGGCTGAAGGGGGGGACAGATGAGTACAATCTTGTAAGTCAGTCAGAGTTGGGAGTGCTGAGAAAAACTGATGTGATGATGTCAAAAGATCTAGATCTATAACCAAAATCACACATCCTGTTGTATTAATGGCCCATGTGTCACTGTACAGTTGCTGCAATTGCAATTACCCTATGTACTCAGTTTCCACATGACCCGCGTCAGACGAGAAAGACAAAAAAAACAAATACCTTGAAACACAGAGAACAAGCTCATCCTAAACCATTAAGCAACACGTTTGAAGTTGAATGGCAAACGAAAGTCCTCTCTTTCGCCTACCATTCCTTCTTGTCAGCCACCTCGGCTTCCCTCAACAATCCACGCTCCCAGCCTTCATTCACCGACAACTCCAACATCACCGGGCCTTCGCCCCCCAACAGCTCCAGGGGAGTCTTCGGCATCCGACGGACATCCCTCCCTTCCAGCCGCCTCGGGCGAAGCCACCACGACCCAACCCGACCTCACCTCGCCATCTCTTTCTTCACTTTCTCACAGTCACACCAACATCCTCTCTCCCATCAGACGGTCTCAATACTCAATACTATTCCTCCTGGCTCACAGACGCACTAAACAACAACTTTCTCTCTCGCCGCACAGCCACCTTAACTACACCATCCGCATCATCCCCCAAGGTCAATCTTTCTCATCACACCTCCTTTCCATAACCTCCTCCGTCCCATCTCTCCACAAACCCGCCACACCGGACGATGCATGCAAAATGGAGCTAAAATTATGGCACTGGTTCCTCCCATCATCAGCATTTCATTCTTTTACAACAACCACATCACTAAGCGAGAATACATTCAGCTATTCACAGACGCAGCACCTTCCGCCAAAGCTGCCACTCAGGTGGTTTTCAGCCAAACGGCTGCTCGAATTCTAATCCCTCTCTTCTTCCTCTGCCATCTGCGAAACGTACCCAGTAATCATAGCAGCTATTCTTTTGGGTCACAAATGGTCCAAAAAATCCGACACCATAAACACGGGACCAGTCCCACCGCCTCGAGTTCAAACGGAAGCTCACCTTAGTTTCAGCCCAGCATCAATTCATTACCCGTGCCTCTCACATCCCAGGTCCAAAAAAACACAATCACCCACACACTCTTCTGCTTCTCGTTCCAGAAATTCTGACAATTGGCACCAACCCCCCAACGCCGTTCAGACTCCAGTCCCACCGTCTTCAGCTACTATCTTCTACTGACTCTGCGTTTTCCTGCACTCGATGTCCTTACACCCTTTAGCTTCGTCCCCCCTGTACCCACATGAAATCGGTTCCGTCACTTCCGACAAATCCCGTCCAAATCAGGAATGTCCCCAGAGCCATACTCTGGGCGTTCCTTCAGCATTTGAGCCACCTCCACTGCTTCCAGGCAGGGAATCCCATTTAACTCCTCGCCAGATGGTCGTCTCAAGCATATCTTGCGTACATCTGTAACAACCTAAACACACACCTTGTAGATGAGGCATTCTGATGTGGGACAGCCATAAGCTTTCTTTATCCATAAAAAAAACCCTTAAAAGTCCAGTGTGTAACATTTAGATGAAATGACAAGGTTGGCAGAGAATCAGGTGCAATAATTGGTCAAACTCTTCTCCTTTTTCTTTTTGACAGGTTAGTCCCTGCTGCCTCTTGCTTTTAGCCCTGAGTAGTGTCACCAGCTTTATGTGTAGTTTAGAGTGACAAATCATACCGGCATACTTTTGATGTCAAAGTGTGTACCTGCTACGCAAAATGCTTTGGCAGTTCTGCAGTAGCGAAGAATGAACAAATCGAACACAGGCTCTAGATAGGGCCTAGTTTCATTGCTACCGTAGTTTCTGTACCTTGCAAACTACAACTTCACTGCTATATGGTATTAAATCCTACACATGGTCTATTAAGTCTGTCAGCTTTTGGTCTGATTTCAGTTCTTTTTGTCAGCTGGAGTTTGGTTTTCTCAGACTGTATTTAGGGCTGAGAGTATAGTATTTCTTTGAGCTCTGTTTGCAGTGACAAATCTTTCATCAAGACACGAGGAGTGACTAAACTGAACCTAGGACTCAGAAATAAACTGACGCAGAAAGCAAGGCTATTTTAACATAATCCTGGCAGCAATAAAATTTTCCCTCAAAAGGGAACTGGAAAAACAAACCAATCAGTGCAATAAAAATGGAATTTGGACAAGAAGAGTCCTAAAAATAATGATCTGCGTGGGAACTCATAACTGTAAGTAAAGTCTAAACTGATATAGTTGTGTTTTTGTTCAGTAATCAGTGATGTCCAGCCCCCAGAAACACGCTCCTTTAGTAGCCATGTAGTTGCTAGCTAACCAATGAATGAATCTTCACTCTGTGTCACTAAAAGTTGAAGATAATTGAAAGGTGAATGTCATTGCCACGACCCGGCTCTGGAACCATGACAAAAACAAAGAGACGCAGTTGAACGACAAATTAGAAGTAATTTATTAACATAACAACATAAATGCAACCAGAAAAAGAACTAAGTAGAAGATGAGGTGTGGTTTGTCAGTAACATCAGTAGTGAAAGTGTGTGTATGCATGAGTGTGATGTATAATGAAAAGTAAATGTTGGATGTTGAAACGCAACAAAACCAAACACCAGAGATGATAGCAAGATAGCGAGAAAGAGAGAGTCAGCCAGAGAGGCGAGGCTTTTATAGCCGGTAAACACTGGGCCAAGGTGCTTCCGGCTATGCCGATTGGTTCAACTCTCAAGTACCTGCTGCTTTAAAAAGGGAAAGAGGAAACATTAGAACCACTCAGGGGACCGTCACAGTCATGATATTATTGGTTGAAATCAGTTTGTTCATGCATGTAAGCACGCGGCACATTTTGTATTACAGAAGGAAAAATGTATTGAATTTTTATATAAAAATACAAAGAAATTTTGTTTTTGTAAAGTAGGGGTACAATATAACTGAGGGTGCAATCTTAACTTTAATATCCTGCCCTGTGGAATATCCAGAGGTGTCATTTATGGAAGACCATTTCTGCCAGGAAAAAAAAAGACTTAAAAACTTAGCCTTGATAATAAAAATATCCTCAAAGTAAGTCGAAATTATGAGATAAAAGACATAAAAATCATAATTATGAGATAATAAGTCGAAATTATGAGATAAAAAGTGTGCATCCACCTCAATGGCAGTTGGCAATATATTCACAGATTTGCACTTCCCGCATCAATAATTCATAATCGAGACATTTTTAAAACACAGCTGATGCTTCTTTCCAATAGTAAAGCACACAACGAACTACAACCTCATTTTCATCAAAACAAGCCTTCCTCTGTGCTGCTCCAATAACATTGATCTCTATGTACACCCTGAGACGAGTGTGCATCCTTTCGAATTTTTTATCTCATAATTCTGACTTTTTATCTCATAATTTCGACTTACTTTGAGGATATTTTTATTATCAAGGCTAAGTTTTATCTGTCTTTTCTTTTTTTTCCTGGCGGAAATGGGCTTCCATAGTAATTGCATTCAATTGGGAGAAGAGTTTTCTGAATTAACATTGACATGAACTTATTTACTGAGCTCACCTGATTTCTGTTCCCACAGTTCACTCTCATTGTGGGTGTTTTCACTTTACCGGACGTTCACGCTGTAAACGCTTACTTTAAAGTGCGGGGGAGGCGGGGCCCTTGCGTAATTTGCTGCC